CGAACGCATCATAAACGATTTGGAGGCCAATGCACTACACACGAGTTTTACTTTAAATGCAGATCGGGCATTAAAAACATTAGGCATAATGTGGAACACGCGAGACGACCAAATTTCCTATACTACTAACCCAATTAAAGGTTTCGAGCAGGTGACAAAGCGTAGAGTGTTATCGGAAATCGCGAAAATTTTTGATCCTATAGGCTTATTAGGCCCGGTTATACTATTCGCCAAGAGGCTGATGCAAGACGTGTGGCGGTGCGGAATCCAGTGGGATGAGCCCGTTCCGCGAATTATTCTCAATGAATGGTCCGAGTTTACGCGTCAATGGGAATTAATGGACCACATTTCCTTCGATCGTAAGTTGTTAATAGAAAATCACTCTAATATACAGATTCATGGCTTTTGTGACGCTAGCAGGGTCGGATATGGCGTTTGTATTTACGTACGCTCAAAGAACAATCAGGACGCCGTGTTATCGCGTTTATTATGCGCCAAATCGCGAGTTGCGCCGTTAAAGCCCGTGACCATTCCACGTCTTGAGCTCTGCGGAGCATTATTGTTAGCACGATTATACCATGAAGTAATCGATACGTTAAATTTCGTTCCTAACAGAGTAGTTTTTTGGTGCGATTCGACCATAGTGCTGCATTGGCTCAAGACTGAAATACATCAACTTAAGACGTTTGTAGCTAATCGAGTCACGGAGATTCGAGATCTTACTGAGACAGTAGAGTGGAAACATATCCGCACAAAAGATAATCCCGCGGATGCGGTCTCAAGAGGCCAACTTCCTCTCGTTTTCTTACAAAATCAAACGTGGCGGGCAGGCCCTTCGTGGTTAATCGACAATGAGAATCAATGGCCTAATGATATCGCACAAAGTTGCGAAATTCCTGAATTAAAAAAGAACACCTGTTTAACGACGACGGCGGGCAATCTAGAAATCTTCTATAGATTTTCATCTTACGCTAAATTGTGTAGAATTGTCGCGTACTGTCGCCGTTTTCGTCCCGCCAATAAATATAAGGAAGCGTTATGTAACAAGGAAATCTCTGAAGCCGAGTTACAGATTTTGAAAAAATTGCAATCATCTCAATTTCAAAGGGAAATTAAAGAGCTTGAAAATAAAAGTCGCGTCATTAAACATAGAATTGCCGGTTTAAATCCATTTCTAGACCAAGATGGTATCATCAGAGTTGGAGGTCGTCTGCAGGGATCAAATCTGTCTTTTGCTCAGAAGCATCCGATCCTCCTCCCAAGCCGTAACCCTTTAACTGACATCATCATTCGAGAAATACATGAATCAAATTATCACGCAGGTATTCAGCACACGTTAGCTGCCATGCGTCAGAGGTTCTGGGTATTCGATGGTAGAAATCAAGTGCGCAAAGTAATTCGCACATGCGTACGGTGCTTTAGATTCGACTCTAACAACGTTCAGCCCAAAATGGGAAACCTCCCCGCAGTGCGCGTAAGTGAGGCAATTCCATTTTCTAATACCGGTATCGATTTCTGTGGGCCCTTTTATATTAAGGAGCGAAAATTCCGGAACAAGACACGAATTAAGGTATATGTTTGTATATTTGTGTGCATGTCTGTTAAAGCCGTACATCTTGAGATCGTTTCCGATCTGACAACCGACGGATTTTTAGCCGCGCTACGACGTTTCGCCGCGAGACGAGGATTACCGGAGCATATATACTCCGACAATGGCACGAACTTCGTCGGTGCCAGTAATCAATTAAAGGAAGTATACGCCTTGCTTAACTCCGAAAATCACAAGCATCGGATAAACAAATTCGCGAGCGACCGTCGTATAGTATGGCATTTTATTCCTCCGGCAGCACCACATTTCGGTGGACTTTGGGAGAGCACTGTAAAATTATTTAAACATCATTTTCGACGCGTGGTAGGAGACTCCTTATTCACGTTCGAAGAACTAAATACGTTTGTCGCCGAAGTCGAGGGGATTTTAAATTCTAGGCCAATTACCACACTTTCGTCTGATCCCAATGATATGTCCGTTTTAACACCAGCTCACTGTCTGATTGGCAAGCCTCTAACGGCCCTCCCGGAGGGAGATTTAACTTGTGTTCCAGCTAATCGTCTGTCTACCTGGCAACACATTACAAAGGTTAGACAAGACTTCTGGGCACGATGGTATCTGGAATACCTTAACGAACTCCAAATACGCCACAAGTGGACCAAAGACGGCCCACAATTGAAGATTGGAACCATAGTTCTGATCAAAGACAAACGGATTCCCTGCACGCAGTGGATGTTAGGCCGAATCACAAAACTGTTTCCAGACCAGGACGACGTAATTAGAACCGTCTCCATTACAACAACATCTGGAGAGATTATGAGACCAGTCAAGAGTCTCTGTCCATTACCAATGGAACAAGCGTAATCACTCCATCATTAGCATAAGGCCGATTCTATTTTATAAGTCAAGCGTACTCACAACAGATCATTCACATCAAATTAGATTGATCGTTAACACTCTCAACGAGGGGAGTATGTTGCGTAGATGAGCGCTATAAGTTGTGCACAACGTAAAATAAGGCAAGGGCGGACGACTCACACACATACTAACACATATATACACCCATACGCATATATACGCATATATACACATACGATTCACGAGCACGACAAAATTCAAGGAGCAGAAGGACGCGGCGTACATCACAGAGCTTTCGGCTCGGTCCCAGAGCCGTGCGCGTTACCACATGTTTTTTCGCCGCTTATCGGCATTTCGCTATCGCTGTCTTTTTCTCCGCGGCGGTCTGTGATCTATGGGACCAATCAGATTCGGGTTTTTCCCGGGATCGCAACGAATACGCTCGATCTCTGAGGAGGGGACTTCAGTCGTCCTCTGACCGTGACATAAGGTCCTTCTGCTCTCCGTGCTCGACATGAGTCTAACGCGAACCAAGACGACGGTCTCAGGCGTTTCGCGTGTCCGCATCGGTTCCATCGACTCAAGGTGTTAGCACCTCTAGGCGTTGTCGAGGACCGATAAATTCGGCTTACAATCGGCAAGGTTCGCCTTGTCAAGAATCGATAATCCACACGTGGATCATAGTGACACGCGATCGACAAACGAACATTAATGTCGCGCGGACAATAGTTATGTGCAAGTGACTCTGAATGAACGGAGAATAAATAGATACATACTCAAACATTTTGCGCTGTGCTCATTCATACAAAACAATCATCCAGGGTGATTCCAACCCTCGGGAATTTCATTTTTTCTAAGGACATTAAGGAGTCCCTGACTTTTGATTCCTTTAAATAGGATTGAGTCGTATTGCGTAGTGAGGTTACTTTCCTCCTCGCAATCGACAGGAGTAGAATTTACCAGAGAGGTACTGAAACTTTCCTCTGGAATTCTAGGATATAAGTTTTCGGGAGAGGTTTGGAAATTTCCCCCTCCAAGGATTTTGGAATCAATTAAATTTTCAGGATGGGTTTGGTAACTTCCCCCTCCAAGGATTTTGGAATCAATTAGATTTTCAGGAGGTTTGGAAATTTCCCCCTCCAAGGATTTTAGAATCAATTGGATTTTCAGAAGGAGTTTGGTAACTTCCCCCTCCAAGGATTTGGGAATCTAGAGTCTCGGAGAAGGTTTGAAGACCTTTCTCTAGATTGGAATTTTTATTTAGTATCTTATCTTCTCTCATAATACCTTTGTTTTTTCTTTTAATTTTATTCTCGCCCTTACTCTGGGCAGTGCAGTTAATTAATACAGAATTCTCTTCAGTTGCAATTTCTATATCCTTTTGCTTCAATAATATATCTTTATTATTATTTATTTTTTCGTCTTCGTCATTCTTTTGAATCTGCCTTGCTTGTTAAGTATTTCGCAATGCCGTTGGTTATCTATCGGATACGTGAAATCAATTTGCCTATCTACTGCTTCCGTTTGATTACCTTGCGCTTCGATGTTTGAATTGTGATCATTAAATAATTCGTCTAAAGGTTTTAAGCGCAAAGTTGGTACCTAGACCTCCACTTCTTCGTCCAGAGTACTTATAACGTTCAGATATGCTTTCCAGAAACATTTTCTACTATAGTGTCTTCTAAATAAATTCCATGAGCTATCTTTAATTTTGGAATATATCCTATTTTAATTTCAGGATTTTCTATCTTTACATAAAACGATGATTCTGATCGTGGAGAAGCTGCAATGGTTTCTGGAAAAAAGAAGGGTATGGTAATTCCTGATATATCTAAATAACTCTTCGCGTAATCTATTTTTGAGAAAGTCTGTAAAAAAAAATCATTACCCAGTATGTCTGACTGTGTAATGGGAAAATCGTTTGATACAATATGAAAGGTTACTTTATTTTCGAAAAGCGGTAAAGTGATCTCTCCAAGAGTATAAACAGGATATTCGTTTATCCCGTTTAGTTTTAATATATTGCTATGATTGACAGTGCTTCCTTTAGGTACAAGATTTTCTTTAATTATATTTGGCCCGGAACCGATATCTAACATAAACGTTATATCTGGAGTGGTTTTGTGAAGCCTTATCTGAACGGTAGGCACACGACTATGTCTATCGAGATTTACTGTTACCGGTTGTACTTCGGACGCGTTTTTTTCTACTGGGTTTTTTGTGATGACGGCGGGTGTGAGGCCCGTTCGGTCCCCTGTTGCACACCCGGCTTCGAGGGGCCGTCGGAGTTTCCCTGATTGCTTACTCGTCTTCTATTGTTACTTGCGATGTGTAACTCGCAGTTGTCGAGGAAATGCCCTTGTTCCTTACAGTAGCGACAGAATAGCGAGCTTGAGGATATTGTATTCTGTCCTATTCTAGATCGACAATCTTTGGCAATATGTCCAAAATTGTTGCAGATCTGACAAACAGTTTTTTCTTTATTTCCCGAATTACGTTGGTCATTTTGCTTCTTCCAACAATTATTAGCCGAATGACCTGGCTTGTCGCACCATTGATAGATTACCGAGGGCTTATTCTGATTATTGTTATTAGTATTGTTACTGTTTGTTTTACAAAATTTAGCATTGTGACCAGACTTTGAGCACAGTTGACAAATAATATTGTTTCCTTGTATTACATTAACAGATCTGTGAGTTCGAGGATCGCGGAGCCGACATTTATCGGCGCTATGCCCACGTTTTTTGCAAATTTGACATATTAAGATTTCATTTTCTAAATTAACTATTCTTCTACAATTAGAGGCCGAATGCCCCTCTTTATAGCAAATTTGACACGTTTCACGTAATCTAACAGTATCTGGTATTTTACCCGCTGTGTTACTGTGCCCTTGTCGTAAATCTGTCATAGAGCGGAGCTCTCTTTCTATTCTTAACACATCAGCTACGATCTCTTGAACATTTAAATTTCTCGCTATTCTCTGTTCGATCTCCGGTTTTAACCCACTAATGAAACATTTACACATATCTTTCTCTAATGATGATTTGATATCTTTGTTTCTTGAATCTTTGTGGATCTTTAATATTTGTTTTCCTAGAATTTTAACTCGATTTGCGGAAGTAACTACATCTTCCTCGCCCTTTTCATAGGTGCTACCTAATTCTCCTTGTAACTGATAAATGTTTTTCGAGGGGCCATAAACTTGCTCTAGATATTTTGTTAATTGAGATACACTGTCAAAATTTTGATCTTGGATTATACGGCGTGCTTCACCCACAATTCTGGTTCTAATAACTGTGAATTGAGATTTAGCTTCCGTAGACAACATGGATTTCGCTTCTTCACATCCCTCAATAAAGTATATTAACGGGATATTTGTGCCGTCGAAGAAAGGGATGGCTTCGACCGCGTACTTTAATGTAGCGAAAGGATTCGGATTCGCCATCATTTTATTTACTTTTGACTTAGGGGGATATTCAATTTCTGTTGCCGGTTGAATTGTTGTATCTTCGGAAATGTCGGAGACAAGTGTTAAAGTTTTAAACAGATCTTTGTTAATGTCAGAGTCGTCCAGTGAAAAGTCAATTTGGTTATGCGTAGACTTAGAGGACGCAGGAGTGGATGTGTGTATTGTTGGTTTATTGTGTTTAGACTTGCCCTGATTCTCTATAGCGGTTTTATAAAGATCATTAACTTCACTTTTATCAGATGTAGACCTCGTATACTTACTCACAAAAATCGTATTTATCATCCCGGACGAGCCCCCAATTTTACTCTGTTTGTTACGTCCAAGCCCTTGGAAATTTGAAATCGAATGGGAGAGACAAGGATGAAGATGGAAGAACGTGCAGACTTTATCTCACAAGTATACGCGCAGAGGCGAATACCTGAGAGTCGGACGCACTTCTTATCGCTCCGGAATATGGGTCAACGTCCCGAAGGGACGCTATAACACCTGTTTCCTACGAGCAGTGGGTATGTCGGTCCTGATTTCGAGTCAAGGAACCTAATCCCTATAACTCGGGACTGGACCACGTGCGATCTTTGAAAAGTGATGGAGTACGAGGTCGTTTTTGGTTTTTTAAAATGAAAGGAGAACAATCATCTTAACAATATTCTAATTTATTACTAAACATAAATTACAGCTTAACAATACGCGCTTAGAAGTATTAATAAATTATTTCTATAGTTTATTGTAAAATTTAATTTTATATTCATGTTACAATTAATACAACTCGGTTATCTGTACGTTACAATAAATGATTTCAAAAATCGCTGGCCGATTGTAAAATAATAGGAATATTTGTGCCGCTAGAGAATGTAGACATAGTGCGAGCGTGAGTCTATATTTGTATATATATGGTGAGGCGATACATGTTGGTTATTGAATTTCTTTAATTATGATAGTGGAAGGAGGGAAAAGGTCATTGAAAAGGTCGATCAGAACTAGGTAAAGAAAGGGAGAACTAGGAATGAATACTGGAATGTGAGTTCCAGGAGGTTGTCTGGCTATGGCAGCTC